GGCAGCAGGCGCTGGTTCTTGGCGAAGCCTGCAAAGCGTGTATACAGCGGCGTAAGTCAGCGGCGCAGTCAGCATGCATATATCTCGAGACTAGCATTGGCCTCTCTAGAGAGCCCCCGGACCGGTCCCACCAGGCCTGCAGGGTCGAAGCCCACATCGCCCACGTAGGTGTTGTTGAAGATGTCGTTGCTGAGGCCCTCGGGGATGGGATCCCAAGGGAGGGCCGTGGACTTGCCGGCGCCCGAGCCGAACTCGGCACGCAGCTGCATTTTGTCCCCTGCTGTCTCGTTCTGCGCGTAGCCGCCCACGAAGGGGTTCAGGTTGCCGGTGGTGAACTGCTCGACCAAAGACTGGCCCGTGGCGCCGTTCTGTGCCACGATGGCCGCCATAGCAACCATGGCCAGCCTGCCGTTGTTGATCTCGGCCAGCAGCTTCTTCTGCTTCTCCTCGGGCTCGAGGGTGTTGATGCGGCCCCAGAAGGGGGGGTAGCCATAGTTCTCCGGGAAGGCCTGGTTCTTGGCCTCAATGGCACCTGCCAGAGCAAAGACCTGCAACCAGCCAAAGGTGGGGACCTTGTAGATGGCCTCGATGGTGCAAGGGATATCAGAGAACTTCAGGTCCATGCTGGGCGAGAGATAGCCACCGAAGCGGCCGAAGAGGTCGGGGACAATCATACCGATCGTAGCGACCATGCAGATCCTGCCATGCTTCAACTCCAGCTCACGGTTGCGGCGGAACTTCTCCTCATCCTGGAAAGCCATCATGCCGAAGGGATCCCAGTAGCCCAGCGGAGGGCAGGCACCAAGCTCCGCGGAAGGGTCGAAGGCGAAGAAGCCCTGGCCATCGTTGAAGGGCGAGATGTGGCCTGCGGTGAGCTGCTCAATTGGGGACTGGCCAGTGAGGCCGTTCTGGATCAGCATGCCGGACATGGCAATCATCGCAAGCCTGCCGTTGTTCAGCTCGGTGGTCAGCTTGAGCTTTCGCTCGGCAGGGTCCTGGATCTTCCTGCCCCAGTAGCCAGTGCCGAAGTTGCCAGGCTCAGCACCGTACTTGGCATAGCCGAATCCTCCGAAGGACTGATCCTTCAGCAGCTGGGTCTCGATGAGGCCGGCCACCAAGAGAATCTGCAACCAACCCTCCAGAGGAACCTTCGTCACGGCTGCGATTCCCGAGGGCACATCGGCAAACTTCAGATTCTGCGATGGGGACAAGTAGCCATCGAACTTGCCAAAGATGTCTGGCCACACCATGCCGATGGTGGCGACCATACAGAGACGGCCATGCTTCAGCTCCACAGCACGACGACGGTCGAAGTCCTCCTTGGTGCAGCCATCCTGGCAGTAGCCGACCGGGTCCCAGAACAACAGGGGGTCGCAGGCTCCGATCTCATTGGAGGCATCGTATGCGCTGAGGATCGTAGGCCCGGTGCTCTTGGCTGTCTTGGAGCCAGGGCGCGCCAAAACGGCCGCGGCAAGGCCAACTGCGCCCAGGCCGAAAGGCAGGGAGCTGCCGGCGGCGCCCGAGCGCGCGCGCTCCGCTCCACGCAGGGAGGATGCCTGAGCTCGCGCCGGGGAGGCGCTCGGTGCCACGAAGGCTGAGGCCGCAGTGACGGCGGCTGCTCCTGCAGCAGCAGCAGCGATCTTGGACATGGCCGGCATTGCGGATGGGATCGCTGAGGCGTCTTCGACGTCTTTGCTCTGCCTACCGAGCTTGAGAATGCCAGACACGACCATGAATAAACAAACACTCCACTTGCAGGAAGGCAATCCGAGGTATAAGACAATGCCAGTCTCGAACGACCCTTGAGAAAAGCGCGCACACACACACACCGAGACAGAGCACGGGCCTGTGCCGGATCGTCCTCAAGCTGCCCTCCACGGGAAAGCCTCAGAGGAGGAAAGCGCTTAGGGTCGCTGTGCGTCTGTGAGCTGTCCCAAAGAAATCTCAGAATTCGGCTCATCAGTCGCATCGCCATGCGACAGTTCATGGAGCGAAAACAGCCCCAGCCATAGCATCACCCGGTTTGCGCATGTGCTTGCATTGGCATCCACTGGAACTTAAACTTCTGTGTACGATGAAGTGTTGCGTTGTCTGGTGGAAGCTCGAAATTCGGCCTGAACGGTACGGGTCAAGCATCTCCTGTTGTCATAGCCCCATAGCGTAGATGCAAAGCCATGGCAGCTTGTTGGATGAATCCATATCCAGCCTCATCTGGACCCATCGAATCACCAAAGGTGTGTTTGAAGTAAACCTGCTATCGGACTCGTCGCAAACTCACACTGGTCTCCAAAAACAGCCATCTGCCTGGTAAATCGCCGTGCCCAGAGCGGAGAAGAGGGAGAGCAGAACACCCAGCACCCTGCGGCAGGCTCTGGGCGCCGTGGCTGTGTCAAGAGTCTTGTGTTGAGGGCCCTGGCCTCTCCTCCTCGGTGAGGTCTGAGCCTGGCCGGCGGACGACAGCAGAGAGCTGACACTGGAGCGGGGACGGGGCCTCTTGCGGAGCCGTGCCAGGGCTCTGCTATGAGCAAGACCCCGATCTCAATTAGGGGACGGCATCGAAGGACTGGGGGTTTGGGGTCCAAAAAAAGCTCAGGCCGTGACCACAGACAGGCCAACGCTCAGCACCTCTCATGAGTTTGGTACTCGAAGCTTCTTGCTGCATGGCGGTTCACCTGCCTTCCATCTTTGGGGGGCAACCTCGGCTGTCAGACGAGCTTCCCTTTCACAAGTCTAAGGTGGAACTTGTACTCGAGAACCGTCTGTGCGATTTGAGCCCGCTTCGGCACAAGCCGGATATGAAGATTTTCGGAAACGTTCGATCCCAGTGGAGCTTGCGCTAGAATGACCGGGCAAAGGCCCGCACTGCGTCGCCGTGTCCACCTGACGTGACTGTGGCAACTCACGGCCCGCGCAGATGGTCGTGTCACTTTTGAAACACAATCTTTTTGTTGCCTTGATGTTCAAGGCTGCAGTCGGATAGTTGTTGTGCATGCTGGAGACCGGTTGTCTCGATTCACACTTCCACTATGATAGACCGTGTGATTCCAAACGTGACAACAAAGCCATCTGAAAGGCCAGTCCGGTGTGGGAGACAGCCCGGATTTCCATCGGAGGATTCTTGGCAAACCAAGAACCAGAACGCACGAGGAATGGCATCCCGCCTGATTCGGGTAGGAACACCGTCTGAAGCAACAGCGTGAAGACCTTAGCCAAGTTTTCATCGAAGTACCACGGACTCCTGTGCCGAACAATCTATGCAATCTATGTGGTCTCTGGTATATGCAGGTATCACTTTCTTGGAGCTGGGCGGGACTGCTGCTGAAAATAGCCGTGTTGAGGGACGCCGGCAAGAAGTGCAGTGCCTCGAGCTGAAGATGCCTCTCTTGTGCAGACATGTGCATCAGAAGAAGCTCTCTCAGACCCCGACACCTATGTAAGAGAAGTTGGTTGTCAAGGCGATGAACTTGGCAAGCAATGGGCTGAGGATCAGAACTGTCACGACATGCTAAGATCGAATGTTGTGGCTGCGCCTGTTTTGCCCTGGCGACCGAAACTGGATCCCTGTCTTCCGGACAAGCTCGCCGAGAGCTTATCGTCAAGGCCAGGGCGTCTGGGGCGCCCCAGGCGCGACTCTGACGACGGCGACGGTGACGACGGTGACGGCGCTGCTGATGGCCGTTGCTTTGGCCGGCTGAGGCGCCTGGCCGGTCCGCGGCCCAGTGTGCCCTCGCAAGCTGCGAGGTGAAGCAGAAGGTGCGCCCGGAGGGCGGCGGCCGGCAGAGCCGCCATGTCCCGTGGCACGCCGATGTTCTGAGAAAGGAAGCGCAGCGGTGCCAGTGCCGAGGCGCGCGCGGAGGATCGCGCGGCACGCCGCGCCGCCGACTCGAGCTCTGAAGGGTACGCATCTCTGCCAGCGGCTCGTAGTAAGGACTCCACAACCTGCCGCAAAGCCAAGTCAACCTCTGGGTTGTGGCCAGGATATGTTTCTGCCATCTTCCTGGCTTCGACGGTCCTACGGCCGCATCCTCGACCACAGCACGCGAAGGAGACGATGGCACTGTGGTTGCTGCAGATGCGTGCAGCCGCCTCTCGGCAGGCCTCCTGCGAGTGTTGAGCTGCAGCCTCGGCGGCCTCCAACACCGAGATCGGGGGACGCAGGAGGGTGCCTGACAGCGCTGTGCCCGGCAGCGCTGAGGTGCGGCCCGGGTCCTCCCTTAGGGAGATGGCGAGGAGCGTCTCGGCATCGCTGCACAGGTCACCAAAGGAGCAGAGGCCCGGCAGGCGACCCGTCGACAGCATCTCAGAGACGGATGCCCAGTTGGAGAGACGTGGCCCCGAGGCCAGGAAAGGATGCAACAGCAGAGCTTCGACCCGCTCCAAGATGGGCAGGAGCCTCGGTGTCCAAGAGTCGCATTCGGAACATCTACGCCAAAAGCTGGCTTTTCTTCTAGATGCATCCCAGCAGCATGAGATCGACCATGTGAGGCCGCGCGCCGCCCAGAAACGAGCCCTGCACTCTTGGGGATTCTTGGGCCTTTAGTGGGCAAAAGCGAGAGGCGGCGGTGCCCCTGGGCCTCGCTGGCGGACAAGGCCTCGTCCAAAGCATCCAAGGCAGAAGTCAGGTGCGCCTCTCTTTTCAGCGAGACGGGCCCCCCCCCCTTCCTTCCCCCTCGGACGTCTCACTTTTGGAAAAAAAAGCGCGAAGAGGGGGCAGAGGCTCCTCTTCCTTCTGACCTGAGCTACGAGATGCTCGAGGCGGGGACCGTGCCCCGCGCGATTCTTGGTTAAGCCGAGCGGCCATGGGACGGAGACACGCCCCAAGTTGGTTTTCCTCCCGGCAGCCGCTTGTATGCCGAGTGGGCCTCACCAAGTGAAGGAGAAGTGAAGGAACCGTCGCAGCGAGCACAGGGCAGTAGTAGAAAAGCAGCGCCGGCGCGCGCGGCCCCTGGCCTTCTGCAGCTTGGAGAAGAGCTCTAGCCACTCCGGCCTCGATGTCCAAGTCCCAAACCGTTCTGCCAGCATCGCACAGACCTCTCAGAAGAAGCGGCCCACACGTCTCCCTCGCAGACTCTGCAGCGACGGCCTGCTCCCCGCGGCCCACGTCTCGCATGGCCGACTGGAAGATCCAGGAGCTTCCCTTACTCCTCTCCTGATCTGAAGAAAACCCGCTGAAGAGACGCTTTTGTTGGGGTCTCAGAGCTCAGTCCACAAGCGGTTCCTTGCCTGATCCAAGAGCTGAATCACCGGCACCAGACGTTGCCGCTTCTTCTCACCGGGCCTGCCCGGACATGGGCGCTTTTGTCTCAGGCTTTCGGAACTTCCGCACGGCGTCGCCTCAAGTAAGCCCTTAGCGGCGTAGTGTCCATGACATAAGGGATCTTCATTTCTTCCAGGACGACCCAGGACACCATGCCTTAGAAGCAGCCACAGCCCTGCAAGAAAAGTGCCAGGACCGCAGGAACACGAAGTTGTAGAGGGCATGTTTAAAGAACGCGCAACTGCATGCATCTAGATCTAGGGGCCTTAGACACGGTGCCTACCGATGCATAGCAGCAAAGCGGCTGATATGGGGTCGTCAAGCACGGAGCACTGAAGCAAACCGTGAGAGTTGTCGAAAGCAGGAGTCCATGAAACTCTCACATTCGACTGCAGCATGTGTAGGAGAAGAACCACCTTGAGAAGAACCGCAGAACTTCCTGAATGCTAGGTCAGATACTGGTTACCCATTCCAGCCGAAGCCGCAATGTGGACACCAGCCAGCCGCGTCGTGCCAGAACTTCAGTGTAGGCTTTTCTGCACCGAAAAGCCGGGCTTTGGCTTCGAAGATGCGCTCTGCGGGGCTCCCGGCAGCACCTCTGCATGAAACGCCATGTCATGCTCCCACCTGCCCCCCAGTTCCTGCTGCCCTCTCCTGGCCGACGAGCGGCTGGCCAGCTCATCCCAGCTTGGCACGGATGCAGACGTGTGGGAAAGGCCCGCTCGGGACGCAGCACGGCGCTGACCTAGAGTGGACATGAAGGGGAGTGCCAAGTAGCCTGAACCCAATCACGCGCCTGAAGGACAGGCCAGCACAAGCAAGCCCGCGAGGCCAATGGACTTCCTGCCAGGGCCAAGGCGAGTCCAAGCCCCCCGTGCTCCTCGGCTCCTGCTCGCGCTCCTGGCGCCCCAGGCCCAGGCATGTGATGGGAAGCCGTTCCTGCTCAAGCTCACAGGCTTCCACGGGCTGCATGGCAACGCAAGGCCAGGGGCCGAAATGAGGGCCATCCCAGGCTGAAAACGGGCAAAGCAGGGATGGGTCTGACTATCGAGGGTGTGATCTGCTCTTCGGTCTACAACACTAGATGTTGTGTCAGCGCGTTGAGCCCCGGAATGAGCAGCGAGGTCATGTGGAAAGCATTGGACACAGCATGCAGCAGGAGTGTGCCGATGATTGCCGATGCAGTTGAAGCGTCTCCGATGCACAGACGGTGGATGCACTGAGGCATCAGCCAAGAATCGTGGTGGATGCGAGGCCTGCTATGAAACGGAAGTGTCTAAAGATGCCCTTCCTCGCGTCTAGGGCATTGCTGCATCTCGCGCCGAGTCAAGCCGTGTCTACGGCATCTACATGCATCTACAATATCCAGGAGATGTGCAGCTACCGCAACAGCCGCACGAAGGCCTTGATGCCCTTGTCTTGCCATCAAGCTTGCGCACGCTGGTTAACCAATCTTTCACGTTCCACGTCGCCTAAAGCTGCTGTCCTGCACGTTTCTCGCTTCGAACTCCCCCCCCCCCCCCCC